CTCCCAAATAGCTGGGATTACAGGCGCATACCATGCCCGGCTAAGTTTTGTACGTTTTTTTTAGTAGACATGGGGGTTTTGTTATGTTGGTCAGGTTGATCTCGAACTCCTGACCTCAAGTGATCTGCCCGCCACGGCCTCCCAAAGTGCTGGGATTAGAGGTGTGAGCCACCACTCCCGGCCTCAATCAGCATTTTGATTGGAACTGTATTTACAACTATGGATCAACTTTCTTTCTACCCACTCAGAACAGTTTGTATCATAATATCATTTACATAATGCTTTGCTTTTGATGCTATCATCTGTGAGATTTTTATCTCCAAGATAAATTTCCAAAATAAGTTAATTTTTAAAATCAGAACGCAGAAGTGATAAATTATGAATATACTTATTTTAAAAATATTCAAATAAGATACTCACCAAAAAAATCATATTCTTACATGGTATCATTAGCTTTGACATCATTGTATGGTGCCAGATTATAGTGATATGAAGCTTATGATACTATTTCACATTTTTATGCACTAAATAAAAACCTGCCCTGTGTTTTATTACAAAGTAGGTGGCCTGAAGGAAAAATATATGTATTCTTTCCTTTTGGTATAAAATATGCATTTGGGCTTCTCATTTCATCCCCAATCTGTGTTATTCCTTAAAAATGCAGAACTGCCTGAAGTCCTCTTTAATATTTAATTCAACAACTTTTTAATCTGTCATTATGCTGTGATGAAGTAAGCATCAAGTGTCGCTGAAAAAGATTAAATTATACTTGGAAATAGGAATTGAAATGATTTAGGGTTGGAGGCTGAGTATTTGCTTTGCACAAGTAATAATAATAGTAGCTTGGGTGAAGAAGGGCTTTGGTTTGGCTTTAATGTCTTTGCCTTGCTGTGCTCCCCTGTGGCTCCCCCTGATTTACGCTAGCATTATAAAGCTTTATTTTATTTAAATGGAGGTAGAAAGTGGAAATTACTACACTACAATACATTAATTACTCCATACTATTTCTTTGTACTGATTTCCCTTTTTTCTGTAAACATCATAAACAATGATGCAACCTACCCAATGGATAGCAGCTGTAAGCAATCCTGTACTTCTTGTTAACAAGCTTATTTTAGAAAGGAAAAGCAGTAATAATTAATATCAATCTATGCCAATAGTGAGAAGCAAAAGAACATTTACGCTTTCCCTTTCATAGGGAATGATGTCCTACATAAGAATAAGTTGTGACAGTATATGTTAATATTTTAACTGTTGCATTTTACTTTTGCTTTTAAAATTGAGACTTTAATCTGTGGATTCTTTTGCACTTAGAGACAAAGGTATAAACTTTCAGACCTCTTAGGGGTTCTTGAGTTGCTCAACAGGTGATGAATAAAGACTAAACTCTTTGGAGTACTTGATCTCTGCATATCTTCAGATCTTCTGTCATCTGGAAATCTATCCAGTGGCTTCTGGCTGCCCAGGCTTATTTTTAATCAAGTTCTATGGCTCTGCCTACATGAGGCCAAAGCAATCAGTGTTTAGTGGAGAAAACTAATTGAGAAATTATTTGATCAAATACACAGAAGAGCCCCATGTGGTTGTTTGAAAGAATGCTGTATTTCATTTTTATTGTAATGCATGTGCGTTGGTGGCTTATATGTATACTCTGGCTCTCTGTCTGTAATGAATGTCTTCAGAACATAACTTCATTTGTCATGATTTGGCATGATGACAGTCCTTTTCAGAATAAGCCTGAAAATAGACTAAAATCTTGATGTGCAGCACACCTGTTAGAATATTCACGCTTAGGAATCCAGTTGTATCTGTATTTCAGATGTGCACTTTCCTAGCATTATGGCCTATCATAGAACAATAATAAAGAGAAAGGGCCTCCTCCTTACTTTTTCGAAACATTCTAAGTGAGATACAAACTTACTGCAGTAGGTTCAGAGTGATCTATTAACTCCTCAGATTAAAAAAAAAAAAAAAGGAAAGCTGGCAAAATGTTTTTAAGCTCACAGTTTTTGTTACCTGTTTCTATTATATATCACCATGGCTACATATAGTTGCACAAAGCATAAAACACTTGAAAAAGTACAAAAGACATTTTGCAAATGGTATATTCATTTTTTACGGAAACTATTTTTTGTTGGCAGCTTGAATTAATTTTATACCCTGCATGATTGGATATCCTGAATATTCGCTTATTTACTTTGTCAGTGGATACCCAAGCCATGGAGGGTGGGACAACTGTGTGAGCATCATTCATTAAATACTCACTTCCATTAAATATTTGAAAATAAATTCTGTTGTTTTTGACAGTAAATTACTTTGTCGTAGTTTATAAATATATACTTAGAGAACTGAGTCCATAGATTATTTATGATTTAGTGTTTTGATCTAGGATAACCTTTTAAAATAAATCTGTTTTTTAACAGTTGGTCTCTGTTTGCCCACATAATGTTATTCCTATTAAGATATGCATGTGTTAACATGTGCCTTTTTTTTGCTCTAGCACAAGACTAGTTTTTCTGAAACCTAGTGTGCTTGTAGGGTAAAGTAAATGCATGTCTTTGTAGAAGAATAAATAAAAAGAGCAACCTGAGTCAATAAGCGGGTTCAATTCATGCCTACAGCCATGGCGGACAGCTCATTTTGTAGATGTGGGTGTTTTGTTTACATTTATAATGCAGCTTTATTTAATGCTGACAGATATAGCTTGTGGCAAATGATAGTCAGAATGTATGAGCAGTCATAATGCCTCTGTCTTCTTATAGTGTGCTGCTGAAAATAAGCAGTTCACCTCTGTTTTTATTGAGGAAAGGATATGAGACAGCTATAGCTTCGTGAGGCTATTTATTGAGTTGTTTTACTAGCTGTGAACATGCCGCTTTATAGCAGTTGTGAAAATGGACTTTGCTAGTGTGTGGGAAAGGAAATAACATTGCAGTATACAAGGGTAGTAAAAAATCTCTATAAATAATTTTTCAGACTGAGGAATATTCTCATTTAAAGGCAGAATGGGTCGTGATTTTGGGTAGGTGTCAAGTCTCCTCAAAAAAGTCACTTGGTTGGGATTCATCATATAATTCAGAGAAAATTCTGATTCTCTAAAATTTAATTGTGCTAGAACTTAAGAAAAGTTTGTATTTATACATCCGCCTAGATTTGGCACAGCATTGTGACCTTTGGGGCTTACAGATTTGTGTTAACTGGCTTAAGGATATAAATGATAATAATGTGCAGTAGGCTGCATGTATGTGTGATAAGACATACCTGTAAGCTAATTAATACTATGTTATTTAAGAATGTACACATAATAGAGAAACCTATTTTCACACACTATTTATATATACTGTTTACAGGATTCAGATGTGTAAGTAGCACACAGTTGATGTAAAAATTTTAAAGTATTGGTATTTTGACCCTAAGGATTTATTATTCCAAATAACCCAAAGAGAGTGACAAACTACCACAGAATTTAAACTTGCATTTTCTTTCACCCCTTGGAAATTATAGGCACTCAGTACACCTGGAGCTTTTAGCTCTACAACAAACTTTTGGTTTTTATACTAGTTTCCTTTTTCATCCACTAAATCTGTCCAGGTCTACTAAAGCTTTTTGATGTAAGTTATTTATTGGCTACCATAATTGTGATAGATATAATACTTTTTATTCTTAAACATAAAAAGAAGAGCATTAGAGCTGTACTTATTTGAAATTTTATTACTTTTCTATTTTATTCAAATGTTCATCATACAGCAGTAAGAACATACACAAATAATATTTTCATGCATACAAAATAATTTAGAAAGCAGTGTGAATCTCAGCAGGTGTTTCTTCCATGTCTGTGTTCAAATTTCTAGGGAACACTGAATATTAAATTGAAATAACCTTCTCTTGATATTATGCACTTAAAGTTCCGTTTAATTCTCAGATAAGGTTTTCCTGGACACATATCATTTTCCTCTCATGTAAATAAAAATCACACTACTTAGATTTTAATACTTGCTACTTTACAAAGTAAATCAAACTGCTTCAAAATACTCACTTATTCCCTTTCTTAGTGCTTTTATTAAGGCATTTCTGTTACCACTAAATATATGGATTATAGAGATGCTGTAAAAATGTTCTTATTTCCTTCTCCACTGGCTGATGAAATGGGTTAATCTCTCAATAGAGCTATTTCCTTAATTCACCACCTGTTTTCAAATCCCTAGTAACCGACAAGGTAAGCAGAGAGATTCCTCTGTGTGTGCCTTATGTACCTATTTCACAGAGAGAAACCTAGAATAAAAAAATTAAGACAAGAATCTTCCTTGAATTTTTTTAAGGGAAAGTTCTTGCTCATTTCAAAAAAGCTGCCATATTTAAATTATCATTCAGCAGCCCAATTATGTTGCCTACCAGGCATCCTTACAATGGAAATTTTCAACTCAAAGGGCATACCTCTACATAAAGTATATTTATTGCCTTTTTAAAAATGCCCATTTTCCTTCCAGCATATTGTGATAATGTGATAGAGTTGTAACTAATGCAAATTTTATATTTTTGATATAGAAACAAAGGAATTGATTTGATACTTGTAAAACTAAATGTGTGTTTGGCTATTATGGTTAGGATGTCTCAACTGTATATAAGTAATCATTTATTGTTTAAATACAGAAGAGGCTGTAACAAAATGCTGTCAAGAGCCATCACACTCATTAACCTGCAAGCTAATTAGCCTCCTCCTGCCTGATTGCTGACAAGTTCTTCAATCTGAACCCATTGCTGTTGTGTCAGCAGAGAAGCAGAGTGAGGTAGAGGAGGTCTCCGTTAGATGTTTGTGAACAAAGTCTCTGCATTAAAGGTTTGTTTTTTACACTCTAACAAATGTTAGAGCATTCATATCCCAGCTATAATTAAATTGGCAACTCTTAATTACTGTAATTAGTATATTAACTGTTTCCTTTCCTTTTCCTCTATAATTGATTTCAAGAAATTACATGTAATTTAATGTGATTTTAAAAATGTAATCATTGTTTAAAAGGTTTCAATAGTTAAATATATATCTAAATGCTATTGACTTTTGGAAATAATATGCATAATAAAATCACTTAAATACAGTGTCTTGTCAAAGCCAGTACATATGGGCTTTATATTTGCATGTCTTTTTTTTTTTTTTTTTTTTTCTGTGCAAACATGACATTCATTCACATTAGAATTTTTTCCCTGTTAGGCTAACATTTCTTAACTAGGTTGCAGATTAGCATTGGAATGATAGGACATTTTGCAAATGCATCTTAAAATATGAATTCATTAATTTGTGGAAGACTAATTCATTTAGAATAGCTTCTTGAGGGCAAAAAAACATTCATAAGATAGTTTGCTTGTTATGCCATCCAATCAAACTGAAGAAGTTATTAAGAGTACCAGAAAAAAATAGAGTACATTTTGGATTGGTAAATGATCTGAGTGTGAATTGATGAAGCCTTTTCTGGATTCTCAAAATTATCACTATTATCTCATTCTAGCCAATGTTACTTACAATTTTTCTTTAAAATATTTACATCATTCTCAACAAATTAGTTAGAAGACTAAACCATTCTAAAATGTCACACATACCAGCAAAATGTATTCACATGTCTAAAAAAACCACATACTAAAATTTATTGTACTTCTAGTTTATATAGGGAAAACTGCTATTTGAGGGCATCTGATTTAAAAGTATTGGATTGCAGTGAGAAACAGCATCAAAGTTTATGGGAGTTTTCCATAGAAGTGCATGTTTACTCTGTATTAGACATGGCCAGAATTATCATTCACATAGCATCCTGTAAAGATCTTAAACTACGTGAATATATATTTACCACTAGCCAACTTAACTAAGCCCTAATTAAGGACTGTTTTAATAAAATTTAAAGTATACTTTCACTTAGTCATTCTTATAATAATTAAGATATTAATGTGACTTACTGTAATTGAAGAATTACCCAATATACTACAAAATACATCCTTCTTTAACAAATATGGCTATTTAAATACAGTAATCTATACGTAAGAATTCTAACTTGAGCCTCAAGTCAACAGTAAATAATTATGATGGAATTGATAATGAAGTTCCTGCTTGCCCTTTAGTTCTTTGGACCTGTGGTCTCTTAGCTATAAAAAACAGATTTGAGCTCATGAAGCAGTGGTTTTGCACTTTTAGAATAAAATTTATCAGTTGGAAGCTACTGTTCTCACCAGTAAGGTTACTGTCTCCCAACCTCTCCCCACCTCTACCTGTCTTCCCTAGCAGAGCCTGATTCTGATAGAAGAGCAAACTTTTCCCAGAAATTTTCAGTCTCCTTTGGATTGTGATACACCCTATGTTTTAGGGAATTTAGTGTAATAATGATTCCCATTTGCTTTAGGGAGTAAATAAACTATGTTTTTGGTGTTCCGCCTGGACAATGTAGCAGGATCCCATCTTCTGAAAAAATAGTAAAAGAAAGCTTAAGGGCCTTTTGAATTTTAGGGCCCATTTCAGAATCATTAGGCCACTTATTATAGTTTGTAGTTATAATGTCAGAGAGTCCTGACTAAATTCTGAACTGGTTCAGGAACCTATGGAACATAGCTCAGTCCTCTCATTTGATAGATGAGGGAAATTAGACTCAGGGGTGGCGTGACTTGCCCAAGGCTGTAAAACCAAATAACAGAGCAGATACGAAGTGAAGATACAGAATGCTGAACCTCTAGTCTACTGCTCTGTTTTATAAATTCAAGTTGTAGCAGATTGATTTAGTACATTCTTTTGGATATTCATGATTGTTTTTATTACAGTTATTTTATATTGAATGTTAAAGTTGTTTAAAGCATATAAGTACAATTTTTTAAATGAGTACAAATTTATTGTTTAAACTAGATGGCTAAATTTATGCAAAACATTAAATCTTTTGGAAGAACACACAAGTAATAAAATAGAAACGATTGAATTTGGAACTGATGAGTATGAAAACAAAAACAAAAACAACTCTCAGAAACTCATTTTGACATCAGGAGGTATTTTTCTCCAATAAGTCGTTTGGTAAAAGAAACACCTATGGTGTTGAGAGGAATGCTGCTGCAGTGCTTCTAAGGAAGCTAATTGTTTTCCAAAAAACTTATGAGATGATAGGCTTTTATGTCATATGCCTAGTTTGTTTTCTCCCTTATTGTGTACTTCACATTCTTTAGATGATGGAGGTGGGGGGAGCAGTGGGGGGAGAGAGAGCTCACCCACAGGCAGGGGAGGTTGTTGTCAGAGGGTAGGTACATGAAGAGAGGGGAGTAGAGCACAAATCAGACAGCTTCAAAATGCAGTTGATAGTCTTACAGCCTTTTGGTCAGCTGGCGAAGATTTGAATGCCTCATTTGCCAGAACATAATATAGACTCTCCTTCACTCTGCAGTTTCTGCAAAGTTAAGATTAGAACGAGGAGTCTTCATTTTTAAAAAGAGAAGACAATTTGTCCAAACACTTCATGTGAAAATAAATTATTTGAATTTTGGTACATCTTAAGTGACAAAGGTAATATTTCCTATTAAATCTATATGTGCTTGTCTAGAAGTAATTGAGAATTGGAGGCATTGTTTTTTGTAAAACTGTGTTGATATTGGTTTAGCAACTCTGTATACGTAACTATTAAAGAGCCCCCCAAAAGTATTTTCTTGATATTGGCTTTCATTTATAAACCAGAATAATTCTGAATGTTTATAGTAATGGGAGATAACCCAAGGCAAATTTAATTTTAAATTGGGCTTTTGCTTAATGTATTATTCATAGTATTGTATCATCAGTTAAGCATATCTCTGACAATAAACTTAAAACTTAACTTTAATAGTAATATCCACCCTAATTTGGGTGAGTCAAATAGTGACCTGACATGATTTATTTTGCCTTCTTATTGTAGATAATTTTTTAATAATGATAGGATGGAATTATTTGGTATGCCTTTCTCATTCTTAAACACCCCTCCCCCCCGCACCCCGCCATTTTTTTTTTTTTTAACACTTCACCATTTTTTGCTGCATGACCTGGTTTTGCATTTTTCTGATTCTCTGTTCATCTAATTAGTATGTTCTAAAAAGACCTGGACCACTTATTGTACAGAGATGTAGCCTGTGGGTATTTAATAAGGAGCTTTCAGTGCTACATTTGCATCTTTTGCTTGGGGTCTGAATAGTGAATTACCTTTAAGATCATTAGAAGCACTGCTGTATTGTTAAAATCAGGCCGCAATATTCTAATGACAGTTTAAAACTTCAGGCTTCCTATGTAACCCAGGTGACCCCAGCATAATTGTATGTAGTGCAAATGACCCTAGGATAAACTGCTGACGTTCAGCTCATTCACAGTGTAGCCTCTATAGGCAGGTGGCTTTACACCCAAACAAACCACAAAGAGATGTAGTGAAAGCAAATGAGTTTTGTCCTAGTTGCGTACACTTATCGTATTATTTATATCGTAATACTAATTCCCAAAATATGACTTGATACCTTTTAAACAGAGACACATCCACCAAGCAATGTGCTGAATGTGGAATGTATTTTATCAGATAACTGGCCATTGTTTTCAGTGTAATACCTGGAAACCAAAAGCTTAAATGTGGGGGTCTTCTGCTTTCAGGTTCATCCCATAGGCCAAAACATAGGGAGATACTTTGTTGTTCAGTGATTAAATTATAATTTATTCTCTCTCTAATAAAATATAAGATAACTGTTAGTATTATAGATGCCAAGTGAGAATCCTCAAATCTTTTCTAAAAAATGGTTTCAAATACCTTTTAGAAGCTTATATAGTTTTTAAAGGTTATTTGACACTATCCTGGAATTATAGAATTTGAAAACTGGAAGAAAATTTAATTTAGCACCCCTTTTTGTAAGTTAATATTTCCATTAGTTTTCTTATCTCAAGTTGATGTGATATCTACCTGCTTCCATCAGTAATGCCAGGGAGCTCAAAGGGGGCTGGTAACAAAAGTGATTTGAATAAAGATAATGATAAATTTCATGTTTTAAAATAAATGCTTTTTACTTATAGGCCATTTATAGATTATTATCTAGCATTCAACTGTGTATCTGAGTTTCTTGGCTATATGAAAAACTGAATGAGTATAGGTATTTTTAAACAATAATCTTAGTAGATAATATATTAGTTGATTTAAAATATATAGCAATTCTACTTCAAAATTGTATTTCTGAAATAACTTTCTTAATGGAGCCTGAAGTTACTGAGACTTTGTTGTGATCAATAGTTTCTGCTGAACAGCTATATATGTATAGGTTTTAGTATAGTACTGTGCATATAGTGGGTACTCAGTAAAGGTTTGTTGACTGAGAGCATAAGTAAAAGGAGATTGAGCTGGAAAGAATGTAAAGGAAGATAATTTGGCTTGAAACATAGTGGGTGTCCTGTAGTTAATTGAACCAGCTAACCAGTTACATGTTTTCCAGAGGGTCTTACTTCCAGTAACAGTTTCAAAGAATGTTACCAAACAACAACAACAACAACAACAACAACAACAACAAACCAGGTAGTTATCAATTTGAATCCACCTGGTGGACTGTTTATAATGTGTTTATTTTAGTTGTCTCATCCTTCTACATTCTTTTCTTGTCAGTTCTCAGAGTTCTCCAGATCAAGTGTGAAAAGTAGCTACCTGATCTGACAGGACCTTGCCTAGACCGTGACACCCAGTGTTGTCTTTTCTTTGCCTTTCTTTTAATTGTGTCACCTTCTTTGTTAGAGAAACCCAAATCTTCTGTTTCTTGAAGAAGCTGCTTTTTAAAAACATATCTTTTAGATACCTATTGTGGAAACAAAACAGAACTTGTGGGTTTTTTTTAAGAGAAATGATGGTTTCTTATATGCAGAGGGGCTGGTAGCGAGGCAAATATTTATACAGAGATGTTTACTCCGAGAACCTAAACTGAAAAATAAAATTAGACTGAATTTTTGGTTAAAGCTAGACCTGGATTGCATGCATATTTGAAAACATTATATAAGGTTTAACAAATTTATGATTAGAGCATTGACCAGTGTTATTCTGTTAAGTAGTTTTGCAGGATTTCTCTTGCAAGAAGAATTTGTTGTACTCGCATTATTGTTTCCTTTGGGATCCTAGACAATGACTCTGTAGTCTGATTCATTAATATTGGTTGTCTTCAGCAGAGAGTATCCAGATTTGACCTGCCAAGTATTAAATTTTTAATGTATTACTAGTTCTTTCACAGAGTAAGGCTTGTCTTTGTTCTTTGTATTTTTGTACCAGTACAGCTTGAATCAGATACAGATTTAATTTGTCGTATCACTAAATATGCCTCATTTAAAACACGTGCAATACAAATATAAAAATGTTTATTGATGAAAGTATTTCAATATGAATAGCTACCTTTTAAAATATTTGAAAGTATGCACTTCCAAATTTATTTTGAAAAGTGCCAGGGGGTGCTATGTGCTATGTACAATAAGTTAATTATTATGCTATTAACATTGATGATGTTGAATGTATATTAGTTAATGTGTTAATGACGTGTTAATTACTGTACATGTTGTGAAGACCCTTCAGGCTTGTTCTATGATGCAGCATGTCAACTTGAACTAGACCAAGTAATCTGCAAAGCAGACTGTAACTCTTAAAAATAACACTTGTAAACATAAATTATAAATTAAATTATGCTTTTTATTATTCTTTTTCTTTCTGGTAGAATGAATAAGTAATTCTTCTGCTATCTGCACCTGTTAGAACCCAATACTGTCAGACTCTGTTTTCCCCAAGAGGATTGAAAGAGATTTGTTATGCAATAACTTCTGCTTTGTTTACGCTCTGGCATTTAGTATATATTTTATATAGATTCATGTGTTTTGCAGCCTGAAAGATCTTTCTTTTTTTGTTTACCAGCTTCATTTAAAATGAAAGACACTCACACTCAGTCTTTGTGTAAGCAGGTGAAAAGTGGCCTTGTTTGATTAGGACTACTAGTTGATACTAAACTAATCTATATATACACGTGTGATTCAGTTATAGCTCTTCAAGTTTAGTTGGCCAAATAGTTGAAATCTCAAGAGACCAGACATAAAAACAAAAAACTCAATGACAATTTCAAATCATTTATAACAGAGGCCAGAATTTGTTGCTGTTTGTGAGAACATGGCATTATATATTTGTTGTCCTTTGCATCAGTGTAGCTTGACACTTTGAAAATGTCAAATATTTGAATTTTATTATTTTAACTTTTGAATTTGTGATTGCCCACTTCTTTCTAATTGTCAGTATTTTTGGAAAATACACCTGATGATAATCCTCAAGAGACTAATTCAGAGAAATACAAAATTATAGAATACGATGTTATTCATACAATGGTATTTCTTATTTTTATGTCTTCAAAATCATTGTTTCATATTAAACAAAAGAAGTTAGTTAATGAATGAGTGTTCTCAAATTTGCAGAGGGTCTTATGAGGATGTTTTCTAAATGACCCAAAACCAACTTTTAAAAATACAAAAAATAAAATAGAAATGAGTGTTTCTGTAAGGCAGTTACACTTTGATTCTTTTAACATAATATGTGTAAGAGGTAGTAAAGAGTTAGTTCAGACCATGAAGCCAGACTGTCCTGCATCCAATCGTAGCTTTTTCACCTTCTAGCTGTGTGACCATGAGCAATGGATCTAACAGTGGTGTACCTCAGTTTCATGATAATTAAAATGGGCTTAATAATAGTACCTACCTCTTAGGGGTGTTGGGATGATTAATTAATACAGGTAAAGTACTTTGAGTAGTGCCTAGTGCATAGAAAGCTCTCAATAAATGTGAGGTCTTATTATTAACCTACCTTTGATATTATACTAAAAATTATTTGGAAGCATTTAATTTTCACATACTTTTTGATTTCCTTAGGACCCATTTTGAATGTACGTTTTTGGTTTCCAGTCATTATAGTCTCGTACTTCATCAGAGAAAAACATCTTATTTTTAATGATGGTTTTATTACTCCAGTGTTGTTTACATCCACCTGGAGTCATCCCAGATTTTTCCATTCATCTAACCTTGCTTGATTTTCTATAGCACAGCTCTTGTTGAAGATTTATATTGGTATGGAAGGATGTTCTGACCAGGATTTTGGTCTCTCTTGCAAATATTTGTGTATCTCTTGTTTACAGCCCCAGTGTCCTCTTGTAATACCCATGCAAAATGGGATTCTAATAAATCTTGTGCTCAGCATTACACATTGTTTGTTTTAGCTGCCTTCCACTTCATGCTTCCTCCTTTAAGAGCGAGCCATTATGAAAGGTTAGATTCACAGTTAGCAGGCTTTAGCTCTCCCTTTTGAATCAGTGAGGTTGCCGTTTTATTGCTCTCCGACTTACACTTCAGTGATGAGAGTAAACTAGCATCAGATTAAAGGTCAGCAAATCCCATCAAAGAGAGGAATATTAGGGGCAGAGATAGTTGGAGAGGCAGCACACCACTGGGTATTGACAGGGTGATTCCAGGGTATCAGTCAGCAGAATTATAGCTGCCCAGAGAGTCAGTACAGCTTTAATGAGCCTGTGTGAAGAGGAAGAGGGTGGATTTATGTAGTTCCTCATAATTTTCTGTAGAGACTGTTATTGCAGACATTCTGTGGAGTGTTCTGGTCTTTCATTTAATTCAAAGGTCCTGGAGCTTATCCATCCTCTAAATTCCTTTTTGTTAGCTCAAATCAAAGTTGACATTTCCATAGCTTACCACCTAAAACACCCAGTTCAAAATCAGGTCTCTTTAGGCAATTTTGAAATCTGTATATTGTTAATATAAATCTATAATCATATTTATCATAGTGCATGCATATTTCCTCTTCAGAGAAGTCGGTTGAATAATGAACATTTCTTTTCATAACTAAGCAACAAGGGAAGAGGTAAATTTACACATTGCCCTCTAACTGGGAAAAAAAACTGATTATGTTACGGTGCTTTTCAGCAATCTTAATGTTCATCCTCCTTAAATTGACTTTCCTAATTAATTGTTTATCTGTCCATTTGTTTGTACCCCATCTCACCCTTTATGCCACCAATACCCATCCTCCTAACTGGAAAACAGTTCTTTTAATCCCTGGAGGGAAAATGTTTTTAATTGTTCTAATGAGGAATACTGCATTTAATTTTCGTTATTTTCAGTTCCACCTTGATTTTGATGTCTTTATAGTGAATTTGACTCACGTTAATTTCTTATCAGAGGGAGATTAAATCTATGTGGTTTTGAGATCTGGACTCTGCTTTGAGAAGTCAGATGTTTGTGAAAAATGTCTTTGGATTTTTTATCTTTTTTCTTCTGATTTCTTTGCTGTAGATTAGTTACCTAAAGGGTTAATGAAAGATATATTGATTTTTTTAGTTATGTTTTTATTTATTCATCGCCATGAAAATTTATCAATTATCAGTTGTGAAAAATTGTGAATACACTTGCACTAGAATGTTTCATTTTATTACCTAGTTAAACTGCCCCTTTTTGTAATTTGTATTTAAGAATATGCTGTTTTGATTATATTTCTAAGTAAATAAATTTTTCCATTATTAACATAGAAGTCTTGTTTGTGTTATTTGCTGCTAGGAAGATGCTCTGAAGCCTCTGTCATTGTCCTTTGCTTGTCATGTGGGTGGTTGTGCTTTTTAGATACTTGCATGGTTTTTAATGTAAGAGCATGATGGATATGATACTACCATGAGAAGCCCTAATATCCTTTTTGAAGTTCACCATTGACTGAAACATCTAGAGTACTTACAGCAAAATAGAAACTTAAGAGAGATGCATAAAGACGAATATTACATAGGAATATAGAAGCCATTTTTAGTCATTAATTAGATGCTGTATTTAAAGAGCCAGCACACTTTAAAATCATGTGGAAAGTCTAGTAAAGTTCATGTTTCCTATAATCATGCCGTGCTTCACAAAGCCTTTTCAATAAAACTGAGTCTATGTCCTTTATAATAATACAGATAAAACTTTATGCTGTGCTGTTATATTGGAATGTACTGAGAATGCCAATGACCCTCATGCCGTATTTACTAGCATGCTATTGTGAGCAGTGCCTGTGCATCAAGATAATTTGGCATTGCAAAAACAATAAAATGGGCATTTCTTCCTGCAAGAGGAAAAAGAGAACCAGTGAGTATCTGCTATTCATAATGAAGTCAAGTGACTGTAATTTATATATTCACTTCTGAAAATTTTAGAGAAAAGGGAAAGAAGATGGTTACAGGAAAGGAAATGAATACAAAGATAAGCATGAGATTAATTATCTGATAGGGGCAGGGTTCTTGCTCCCATGAGGGACATATGAATGACATTTACTGATCACCTTAAAGTACAAAGTAAGTATATATGGTATTTTAAAATTCAAGTGGGGTCTAGTATTTTCATTAGAGAAAAATTATGAATAAAAATCTCTCCCCATTGGTAGTTTCTGACCAAAAATTTTGTGTCATATGTGTGTGATACTATAGATATGTATCATCCTATCTGTATGGTTTTTAAAAATACCATTCATTTCAA